TATCTACAGTATATAAAGTATACAAAACTAGTCCCTGCCCTCAATAACTAGCGACCCCCAGTGGGCCCCACTGGTGCAGTGTAGTTTCATCATGCTTGATCTGCCAATTTGGAGCCTCCGTACGCATCTGCAAATATGTTTAAATGTGGACCTCGTCGAGAATCGAGAAACAAGAATCCGGTTGTCATCGTTCAGTCCACCACAAAAGAAGTCGGCGGAAGAGCCATGAGAGCCATGACCCACAGAACCACAGAACCACTTCGGTCACCGCCCACCGCACCGCTTCGCTTCCGCCCCTTCACGTCGTCCAGGCCACAGGGTCGCTCAATCGACTGCGGCCTCGGGAGATATGGTCGGGTCTGGCCTTCGGTGTGTGTATATGGTCGTCCAACCCGATGGACACCACAAGCAAAACACCGGGAAGAGTCTTGAAATCTTTGGCTGCTGTACTTGTTGCTGCATGTTGTACTTGTGCTTTTGGCAGCCCTTGCAGTGTAAGAACAATCACTTGAGCCTAGCAGCCTAGCATGTCAGGGAACATACGTGGGTTGCAAACAAAGGTTCAAATCGCCAATGCTTAGAAAGTTGTCTCCTGCAAGTTGGGAGAGATTCCCTGTTTTGGTGGTGCAGGTTGGTTTTGACGGAATCAGCTCTGGGCTCATCCCTCAGCTTTTGCCAACAGGACTTGGTGTAGCAACTGCTAAAAAGCTCTTAGGAGTGTCCAATCTACATGTTACTTCAACTAGCCACGAATTCCCCGTTACCCCAGCTAACGAGTCTCTCTTTGCACAAGGCCGAGCTGCTCCAGTGCGACCCTGGGCTCAATTCCCCAGGGTACATAGTCTGATGCATGGCCTGGCCAGAACAGATCTGATGATAACCATGCAGCCGTTTGCAAAATACCAACTCTGGACCCATGTTAAACCCATGTTGGTGCCCTTGCTTTTGAAAGTGTAAAGGGCAATCTGAAATAGGCGGTAGGAGAACAGGTTTATGACGCATAAATAAACTACGGACCAAAAGTGTGGTTCTGCATGGAAGATTGTGATGGTGTTTTTTTGGTGAGAAAATTTGTGGGCGCGACAAAAGCGTGGCGACACATAGGGCGACACTCAAGTCAGCCAGGGAATGATCACAGATCCAGTCGCGAACTGAGGATGAATGGACACCCAACAGTGACAGAAAAGCGGCAAACCTCAAAATCGGTGGAACTTGGCACATGTCGATGGAACTTTGCAATGATTTGGCATGGTGCATCTTTATTCAAAGCAAAATCTCCCAACACAACCCTTGGCATGGTGCATCTTTATTCAAAGCAAAATCTCCCAACACAACCCTTCCCTCAGTCAGATGATACGGCCTAAACTGCAGGTTGAGAAGAAGAACCTCTCTTGAGACAAAACCAAGTGCAGTAAACATGTCAAAAATCCGGAAAAGCTGGTCAAGTTGGACCCAGCGCTTCGAAACCCTTGCATGGCTCTTGTGCGTAAACAACTACCTGGAGCCTGACCGAGTATTTTGGTACTCCCAGGAATCGTTGAGACAATGATTCAATGATCACTATTTTCAAGAGTGGTTTGCGCCCCAAGGCAGACGCACCCAAAAAGTTGGAGTGCAGCAAGGCTCAGGCTACTCAGCAACATGGTCTTCGGGAAAGTGCCTCCATAGCAACCAAATTCTGCTTCGCAACACTCTTTGAGTGCTGAAGGCAACAAATATTCTGCAAATCACAGAATCACAGCGATTGTGTAGTAGGTATATGCAGGTCGCATGAGACAGTCAAAAAGTCATGACCCACAGTCTTGAGCTCATGTTTTTCCGTGCTCCTTCTCAGCTAAGACCGTGAACATGGACACGGGCTCGCGCACTCCCCTTCGGGGGGGCTCGAACCACTCAATAGCTGCAGATCACCTACATCTTCCTATGGCTTTGGGTCAAATGGGAGGCAAATGGGAGGGCTTGACAATGGTGATTTTGTTCCTCGATGATTGGGCATCAACAATGCCTAGCAAGACAATGGCAGCATCGTCAAACTTTGTTCAGCTCGTTTCAAGTCATCTTTGCAATTATAGCAACAAAAAAGTAAAACATAAACTCAACAGAACTCAACAAACCTTCAGGTTTCTTTGGCCAAAGCTCCATCACCTCGTGCATTGCCCCAGACTTGCCCAGTTGAAGAAACCGTCCCGCTTCACACCAGCGGTGGTCGACTGTTTTCCTGTCACCGTATCCATTGAGGCCTACCTTGATCGAGACACCCGTGTGAGCCACGTGTCCTCTTCGTGAGTCAAGTTACTAGTAGCTTCTTGTTACTAGTAGCGTCCTTGCCCCTAGTAGTACGGCCAGGAGCCCCTATTAGCTTCTTGTTCCAGTAGAGTGTCCCTTCTCTCGTTTTCCATCCCCAAGTGCAATGGGGGAAGAAAGAGAAGTCACTTCAAGCTGTGAAAACCGTCAGGCTCACGGAAAAGCCTAGGCATGCCTAGGCAGAAAAATACCTTTGTAAAAGAAAAAATGTCTTGAAGTCAATGTGTCATAACTTCATAAACTGTTCAAATCCAACAAGGAGTTTTCCTCCAACAACCTGCCAATGCTGATATCAATTTTGCAGGATGAATTCATTTCCATTCCTTCCGAACTTTCCCCACATCATCACACCTGAGCCCAGCACTTCCGCCCGTACTGGCTCAATCAACGCGGAAAAAAAAAGGGGCAGTCTCCAGCGGACCGGTGGAACCGGTTCTTTGACACTAAAAACCAACATGGACCCTGAAAATGTCTCCTGGAAGACTATTCCGACTTTGCGGCTTGTGTGTTCTCTGCGATAGTCTCGTGATTCACTCCCTTTGTGATGTTCATAAAGCCTTGGTAGTGGATCGCATTACCAACATCTTCTCTACAGTACTCTTCACCAAAACTCTACTTTAACATACTTTAAGGGCGCTCTTATCTCTTCAATTTCGCTTCTGTCCCGTCGCCGCTTCTTGAGCCAAGAGCGACCACTCTGGAGCTGCTCCGAGGCAAAATCCAGTAGGTTTGACTGGGAGAGTCCGTAGTCTTGGTCTGCTTTGGTGGAGGACCCGTCAACCCTCAGACAAAGCCAAGGGCACATCCACTGAAACGACGATCTGATGGTCTGGGTGGTCCATGGAGCACGAGTATGGTCACCAACTCTCTAGCTTCACAAGCTCACATGGGCGTGAGGACCTCTAAAGCAACAAAATCTCTGCAGAATGTGCCCCAGTGAAACCAAGAGAAACCAGAATCAAACGCAATCTGTTCTTCGCTGTTCATTCTTTCTTTAATGACAAAGGATGAAGAGTACTGCAGTTCACTAGCTGACTAGGAGCTCAAGACTGACGCAGGAACATATCATCTAAAACCACCGGGTCTTCGCTGGATTCGAGAAGACCGCACTCTTCATCCTCCCCCCGTCCTCCAAGTAACCCACCAATTCCTGGCGGATCAGCCCAAACCCATGAAGCAAAGTTCCCTTTTGCTGGGAAATCCCCATCCAGAAAATGTGTCTGGCAGAATCAAGGAGTTTCAAGTTCCATCTTTGGCTGCATTGATCAAATTCCCCGCAAACACCTGCACATCACCTGCAAGGGCTCAGCAAAGTGGACACAACTCACTCAGCTTGTTGTGCCACAGCTGCACCTGCATGCCATCTTCCTCCTTGCGGGCTGAAAAATGACTCGGCATCCCGCATTCGTTCTCCACCCATCAAAACAGTCCCGATTGGTGATTCTAAGTTTGAACGAAGGACCAAAACTGTTTTTCTCAGAGAGCGAGCAAATGACGTACATGTTGATTTTTGGTTTTGCAGTCACTTGCAGCCACTTGCTCAGGCAGCCACTTGGCAGCCACTTGGCAGCCACTTGGCACTCAAGCAAGTAAACTTCAACACTGTACTTTGAGTTCTTTATGTAAAAGCTGTAAGATTCTTTCGTCGCTAGCTCTGCAGAAGTTTGGATTTTTTCTCGGAAAAGTCTTGGATTATTTACAGTAATGATTTCTCCGCGCGCAGCTCGGGAGAAAACCAAAATTTCTTCGCAGAACAGCATTGCAGAAATTGTGGTTTTCTTCAGAACTGCGTGCGGAGAAATCATGATATTCTCTGGACAGAAGTAGCAGTCACTTGCAGCCACTTGGCAGCCACTTGCAAGTGGCTGCAAGTAGCTGCAAGTGGCTGCAAAATGGAAAATCAAAATGCGCACCTCCTGCGAGCTCAATGGTTTTTCTTGGCCAGGCTACTGTGGTGCTATTGCGAAGCTACTGTGGTTTGCTTCTCAAACGGTCTTAGTATGCATTCAAGCAAATATAGCAATTTCTGACCACCATGACGGACCATGACGACAAGAACTTCTCTCATTCCAGCTTATACACGAACAGGTTGCACAAGTCTTTTTCATCATTTGGGCTTGGAAAGAAGGTGCACAGCGGCATTTCTGCACGCTGTCTTTCCTACTCAGGACGCCTCGAAGCCTGTAGACGCCTACAAAAACTCACACCGACGAGTCTGACCACATCCTTGAGAACGACGGGGTTGACCTGCCGGTTTGGTCGAACAACTTGGGTACTTGTGCGTTTGCTCCTCCTCATCATCATCCTCCGTGTCTCCATCGGCCATGATGGAAAGAGCAAGCGAACTATCAAAAAAAACACTGAGTCGGGTGTCCAAAAGCATGTGTCATTTCTACCTCAAGAATTCCCATGTTGCCACAACTGTACATGACTGTGAGGTCAACTCTGCGAGCCAAAGAGAGGTCACTGCGGAAAAACACCACAAATGCTGATATGAGGGAGCCCCCCAATCATCTCCAGAGTCCCAGGGCACCGCATTTTGGATGAGTCCTAGAAGTTTTACCTTCTCATGTCCCCAACGTCCCCTCCAACATTGGAAGGCATACAATCTGTGATCAGCCAAAATCACCCTGCCATACCCCTTTGGTTCGGAAGTAGACCAGCACACCCCAACCTTTCATAGAGACAGGGGACTTTCAAACATCTATAGCGCCCAACCGCCAAACCTTCACAAAGGCCATCACATCTTTTCTCCAAAGCATCGCTGCACTTCCCCGCCTCGAGAGCGCCCGTTCTCTTGAAGTGCGCCTGGCGAATGCTCTATGCGGCACCGGTTTCGGTGCGGGTACACGCATTCGCCAGGTAGTGCCAGGGGGTCAGATGGACATCGCGAAGGAAGAGTCATGTTGTTTAGACCAAGTGCCTCCATCAGAAGAGAAAAAGAGACGACAGTAGCTAGAATGTAAAAAATGCTAGTAGGTTGGTTGGAGGCCATCGCTCTTAGGTTGGAGGCCATCGCTAGTAGGTTGGAGGCCATTCCTAATTGATTGTATGGTCTTGTTGAAGAATCGGTTAAAGAAAAATAATGCTTATAGTGTTGAAAAGTGCTCCAGAGTTCACAAGCATGCCTGGGACATCCTGGCACCCTGGCAACCTCCGCGAATTCTTCATGGTCTACAGATATCGTGTGGCCGGCCCCAGGTCGTTCAACAGGTCCCGGTCGCCGTGATCTGGACCCAAAGCTAGTGGGCAATCAGGTACAAGTATTCCAAACAAAAGTGCGTCTTAAAAGGTCGTGACCGTGTGGATTACACACAATCTTGTCTGTGAGTCTGTAGCATGACGTCTTGTCCATCTCATGTTCTTGGGACAAGTTCACAAAATCAACCTCCAATGGCCTTAGCCAGCCTTCTCACCAAGCATAGAAGAACAGGACTCCCGAGTCATTAAATGGCTAAGATCCAACAGCCAAAACAAAGGCGACAAAACATCAGTTTCCGCAATCGGCCTTGTCCGACTCAGGAGCCACTTGAGATCTTCCTGATCCACGCAGTGGCCACGCAGGCCGCTGCCCAAGTATATAATATACATGAAGGCGTTTTGAGCAGTTGAGCAGAGTGATGGAACATGAGAGAATGTCAACGACTTGAGATCCACCAGTTGGTAGGGACACTACTAAACCGTAACCCATTCATTGGGGCACCTAATGTCCTTGACAATGGAAAAGTCGCTGCACGTGCTTGATCTTCGTCTTCGCGCCTTCGCTTTTGAGGCTTCTCGGACGAACCTCGGGCGCGATCAAAAAAGAGGAAAACAAGTCTGAGGTCAAAAAAGAAGTGCCAACCGAGCAGGTGTGCATCGGCTTGGTAAAGGAAAATGATCTGGTGCGATCCACATAGCTTCCTGAACTGGTGCAATCCACATACCATCTCCCACGTCATCTCATGTCATCTTCCCATCTTCCAGCTAGGGATTTGGCTCACCTTTTTCTTCGCCTCAACAACTGGAGATTGGCTCACAGAAAGAACTGGAATCAGCCAAGCTACTAAGGGATCCCTCCGAACCAAAGTGAGAGTGTCTCGTTTTGACGACCAAGAAAAGACACATCTCATTCTGAGAAGTTGCAAGCAGGCTGGCGAAAATTGAGAGCCCCCCCACCTTCTTTTCCTTAGCCTTCTTTCCTTTCTTCTTGTGTGTTTCCTTCAACTGTCAGAAGCTCTGTTGGAAGCGACCACAAAATGCCTTAATTAAGACTATAGTTAATGTTGTTCAAACAATAGGGCACCGGAGCTTTACTGAGTGGGGTCTTGCGAATAACAACAATGATACCTTCGCATCCAAAACCATTGACAATGCAGCTCAAGCGCCTCCTCACTCTCATCATGCTCCTCCTCTTCCTCCTTTTGCTTCCTGAGATCGCAAGGCTCCCCAGAACACCAAACAAGTTTCGCTGGTCTGCTGGCAAATCTACGGGCTGAGGAGAAATGTATCATGTATTTGGTGCTGACAAGTCAGCCACCCATGTGCCTGACTTGTGGGTCAGGTCATGTCATCTCACCCTGCCCAGCATCTCTTTCTTCCTTTGGGCCTTCTTCTCCTTGCTTCTCTCCTGCGAAATGTTCTTCGCATCGGAGACGAAAAGGCCAAAAGCGCATTTTGGGATGGACAAACATTACGATGTTGAGATGCAGAAATATCAAGGTAGCTTACAATGATCCTTGCCTGGATCCTATCGTGGGGCCATGTGGACCATGTGCAGGTTCTTGCAGAGAACACGTTCTTCCTCCATGCTCACGGTTTGATAGAGAGTATCTGTGACTACCTCCAACTTGGCCCACTTCTTTGGCATACTGGCCTTTTGTAGATGTGTATACCGTATTAGGTAGACTTCACAGCTCAATCACGAATGTTCTGTGGATGGGTAATTCTTGCTGTCTTCACATCTCTGAACCAAACAGTTTACAGCTCGGCCTCTTTGGTCTTCGCCTTCCTAGGACAGCACGTGTAGCCAGGAAAAAGCAACGCCCAGCTCAGCAGACTTCAAGGGTGCAAGTGACCTCTTGGGTTGGATTGAAGTTGTGTAAGACGCTAGACTCAAATTCTCTCTCCTTCCATACTCTGGCTCAGTGTCTACTTCAAAGCAAACATCTGCACTCGAGCAGCACCCCGCAAAAAAAAGTAATGTTTCAACTAGTTTCGGCTCTAAGGTTGGCTTTGAGGTGGGAAAATGTTGGAGGAAAGGACTTTAAAATTGGTCGCAATCCCTCTAATTCCCCAAAGAAGCCAACAACTCTGGCACAAGCCACCGGCTGTTCTTCGTCTCTTCTTTGCCACTTTCCTCAGACTCCTGGAACTCTTCCGGCAACTTCCAAGGGCTCTGCCCCACCACTGAGTCTCGATACGCAAAAGTCCCAGAGACATTGGCAAAGTTCGAGGGTTTTAAAAAGCACCACCGAACAAGAGTTGAATGCAAATTAAAGCAACTTTCGCTGGAGCAAGGCCTGCTTTGGAGATTCCTCTTCCTTCTTCTTTTTTTGCTTTTCTGGCAAAACAAAAAGAAAACAGATTGAACCTGAGGTGAAGTGGACAGTGGGGGGATGTTCTGCCACAAGAAATCTGGATATGCATCCACGGACGGAATTGGATCTGTAAGAAGGATCTGGCGTTTGGAGACGGTTCAGTGGTCGAGGATGTTTTCTGAGCTAGGGGAGAGCAGAACTTGCATCAAAGCGTCTTTTTTTTGCACTTTCTTCTTATGTGCTTTCTTCTCAGTCTCCTTTGTGTCTTCGCTCTTGTCCTCGGAATCTTCGCTAGGGAGAGTGTTTTTTCATTGCTGGAGGCTCATGAGGGGTTGCGTTGACCTTCCTGCTCCCAGTCATGATAAACCCAAATTCTCGGAAAATCCCTTGTGTCTTAGATACTTCAGACAGGCATGAGTGTAGATGCCGAGACGGCGAATAGGCTGCACGAAGAAAAAAACCGCCGTCTTGGGCAAGGTCCACGCTTCTGTGTTCTGCGGGAAAACAACACCTGCCGCAGGTGCCCTTTCAGGAACCAAAGGCTCTATGAACAGTGCAGATTCCATTCTCTAGGGAGACACATGGAACCTGAAGTCACCACTGCGGCGAAGTGTCAGCCTTGATTGATAGCAAGCTGCTTTTTTGCATGGTTTGATGTAACTTATATAACTTATAGCCATGCCAGAAGTATGCATCTTAGGGCACAATCAATCACGAAGCATACTTCTGTGGGCAACCCAGTCCTTTGAAGCCACCAACCAGATTCCCAACGGGACAGCATCTTTTTGGGGCTAAACAAGCCAGAGTCACAGAGTTCGGTTCGGTTCCTATGCCAATGGGGATGTTTCCAAGCAAGAAGCCGCTTCAAGCCACATGGGGAAGTAATGGAGACGCCCTTTTCATTTTTTTGCACGGAGACCTTGTGGATGAGAGTCGTGTCCTTCAACTGCTCAGTGCTACTTCCTGAAGGACGACATCACGAATGTTGTCGAAAATTAGATTTCGATCTACCGGGTCCTTTTTGCGCTTCTTCTTATCCTTTTTCTTTTCCTCCTCTTCTGCTTCTTCACTTTGCTCGGACTCGCTGTCCTCGCCGAAATCGTTTGAGGGTCCGATCACTCTGGGCATATTTTTTTGGAGACTGGCACTCCAACTTGACGACAAGTGAATCCCTATCATATCTCAAAAAGCTCCAAAAAGAAAAGAACTTCCTTCCACCGATCTTCCGATCAAGCCAGCCTTGCAAAGGTCCTCTTGGATCCTCTCTTTCTTTCTTTCCTGCAAACTCTGTGAATGAACCCATACACCAAATAGACTAGGCCTGACATGGCCTGAAGCCATCTGAAGCGGCTGAATTGATGACATGGCCATCACACTGGACCGAGAAGTTCGTTCACCCGGCTGGCTCCCGTCAAAACAGTTGTGACGACGCAGCAGGCAGTCTTATGTGGTTTAACACTCAACCAATGTCACAGCTTGGCAACTTCTCTACCACGTTCCTCATCCGGCCATGAAAGTCATGGCAAAACTCCACCAAGCGCCAGATCATCAGGCCCGGCAAGAGTGATTTCAGCTAGGTGAGCACCAGTTCCTTGTTTTGTAAAATCTCTTTGCAGCCCCTTTGCATCCGGCCCCAGAAAGTCAGAATCTCTGCTGTAACAACCGCAGCCAAAGCACGCTTGTGACTCAAGGATCCAAGATCAAATCCAGTTGATGCTAAAGTACCCTCAGTTGCTTAGGGGGTGTTAAAGGAACCTGTCACCCAATCCTGGGTTGAAGAAAACAAGAAACATATTGAAGACTATGGCCCAGTAGATAGATAGAAAGAACCTGAATCCAATTCCTCCTAAGTCGCCTCTCTTCTCTGTTTTTCTCTTTCTCGGGCCGTCTCCCTTTCTGCCTCCACCTTGGCGGAATCAAGTACCGAAGGTGCTTTGGGAGGTCTGGTGGTTTCTGGAAAGCAAGGAGTGACTGTGACGTGGTTAGGGAGTAGTTAGAAAGCATGACCAGTGTATTCTGTATTCAATCGGACTGCGTATGATCTGCCACCAAACCCTGGCAACTCAACTGACATTGTAAGGCACACAGAATGTCGTTTGGGGATTCATTGTGTCAATTAAACTGAGTATGGCAAACATCAATATGCGCCCACAAAGAAAAGGAGTGGTGGCAAAGGGACAAAAAACCAAGAAAGTGAAGCCTTGAAAAAGCCTTGCTGCTGCTGGACTCCTGAATCGCACACACCAATGCTCAATATCTCAACCACAACTACAAATAGCAGCCGCAGCAGCAGAACCCAACAAAGCCTCATCGAGCCTTCCTTATTGGGCACTTGTCTTCTACCAACAAACACTGCATCAAAGAAGGCCTGGACTGAGAACCGGCAGACCCCAAGGCACAGCTTTGACAAAGCTCATGGGGGCTTCTACTGATTACCTCCTCTGCTGCTCAGCTGTGTCGACCACCAAAGCACCAAAGGTTGGGGGAGATCATTCCTTCACCTGGACTTCTTGAACAATTGGATAGTGCTATTGTCACATCCACACCTGAAACTCAGATTCATTGTGCCATCAGAAGCGGCACAACCCAACAAGTCATTATAAATTATAAGGAAGCTGGTGTTCTTCTTGTGAACCACCTCATCCCTGTCCTGGGACTCCCTGCCTTCTCTCTGGCCTTAAGCTTGGCCCGCTTGGCGGCCTTCTCGCGTACCAAGTCCTGCAACGAAGCTAGTGGGTGGTTCTACTGTGGCGGAAGGCTATTTGGAGTGCTCAACTGCCAGGGCTTGTCTCAGGCCAGAGTGAAGTTCCTTGGTGGTGTGTTTGGAAACATACAGTAGTTTGTCTGTTGCTGAGAGGTTTAGTTCTCTGAAAATGCATGTGAGCCACACACTGGCTACTAGCTTGAACAAGCCAAACACACTTGGGGCCCTGAGCTCTCCAGGGCAAATGTGAGTTTGGACCGGATGGGATAGAAAGTTCTTCAATCTTGATCAACGACTGGGTGTTGCCTTGATCAAGTCCAAGTGCGACAAAAGATTTGCAATCGGGCATTTCGCCATTCCTGGTGATGTTTGGCCCTCATGGAAAACCTCAACTTCTTGACTTGGCAAGTCCTCAACTCTTGGCTTCGTGAATGGAGGAAGATCCTTTTCCCACCCAGAAATCCTCATCCTCTTCTTCCTCCTCATCTTCATCCTCCTCATCATCATCCTCATCGCTTGAGGTTGAGGATGCCTTAGCTCATCAGAGACGGCATCTGTTCTCAGAGGCGCGGCTTTGCAAGGCAAATCCATCGCCGAATTCAGCGCTTGATTCAGTCAGTAAGTTTGGAGCAATTAAAGGACAATAAATTGTCCTCTGAAGATGTCTGAGAACAGTGGATATACCCAGACCCCCCCAAGACGTTGAGCATCAATTTTTTCTGCTCGGCCTCCGAGGCCGGAAGCGAGAATCAGAATGTGGATTTGCCTCCAAGTTTACGAGGATCCCGAAACCTTCCCAAGCACACAGGAAAACCCAAGTCACCAAAACCATTAGAGCCTTGTGTCCTGAGACCAGGAAATGATCTGATGTTCCTTCGTGTTCGCCTTTGGCCGCCTCCGCGCCGAACCTCCTTTGGCCGAGAAGCGGAAGAATCACTGGAGCTTCTGGACTGCAAGGAGTGGACGTGGAGTCGTTGGAGACATTGGGAGACAAGCCATCGAGGACTTCTGGTGACCGACAATGACCCATGGACAGGGGAAACTTCCCCAAAAAGAAAGGTCCGGGTCACTTCAGCAAACCCTTTTCGGAGGTCATGTTCTATTCCTCTAACAATAGTTGCAAAGTCGGTGACATTCAACAGGAATCACAGGTGTCAGACAGGTGTCGTACAACCACCCAGATCTTGATAGAGAATATGTGTTTCAACCTGTACTGCTTTCATGTTTGCCCAAGATTGGAAGTGCATTGTCACTGGTACTGTATCATCTCCTTAGTTGCGGCTACCAGCGCAACTGAGAAATCTCCCAGGCTTGCGGCAAATGGATCCGCCTGCTGCCGCGGTGGGTAGCCTTTGGCAAGGAGACGCTTCATCACGAGAATTCTCTCTGAAATTGGAGGTGCAGGCTCGTGAAATGAATTTACAAAGGGTTGGTAGGGTTTGGCGTTGTCCATCCATCTCACCCAAGGGAACCAAGGTGCATCTTTTCGGACTGCGTCCGACCTCCTGCGAGTGAAAGAAAACAATTGGACCGAGCAAGGACTTCGTTGCAGAGACCTCTCCCTCTGTCAACAAAGCCACAGACTACAGTATCTACTGAATCTACTGCAGCATGTGAGTATCATCTTGCTGCAAGGCTGACACCTATTTTTCTTGAATTGCACGAAGAACCACCCTGAATTGTTTCTCTTCCCAGAGAATACAAAAGGGCATTCAGGCATTCTCACCATGTGCTTTTCATCATTCCAGGACCCAATGCATCCAACAAGACAGACACCGCGCCTGGCCACCAGGGATAGAAGCCAGGGAAACCTGCCAATCCGAACGTCCTGTAGAGCCGTAACCTTTGCAAATCGGCCTAAGTGACTTTACGGCACAAATCCTGCAGATCAGCTGTCACAACGCTCCTCACATGAACTTGACCATGCACCCGGCTCCACCGACTACTTCGTTTACAGGGACTCCACTTCGCCCGACGGGACCCTGGATACCACGCCTGGGTACCCTGGATATCCATAGCCTGACAATGGACCGCTTGGTCACACTCGATGTACAACGAAGTAGGAGGACTACCATGGAGGAGACCCTTTTCATGAGAGGACGACACAAGAGTCATCACCCAGTAGCCAACCACCCAGACTTCCCTGGTCCTTCCTTTGTCTTCAATCCACCACATAAATGTGGGTCCTGATATGCTTACCTAGATTCATTTGCGCCCGGATCAGGGTTTTCTTCCACTCTGATCCACCCAGCAGGGCTACTGAAGCAGCCAAGACTGAGCGCAGCACCTGAGTATCCTGGCGGAGGACTCGGAGATCAGAGGCCCTTTACGGATCTAGACAGGTCTTGGTCTTCTCAAAGCGTTCTCCATATTCAGATCACACTGATCACACTCCACAAGTTCACCTTGAGCCTAATGTGTTGCCTGGGAGCATCGACATGAGTTTTGGGGATTCTGAGGTCACTGGATTTTGCACTTGCCAACAGCTGCCCGCACTCTGTCCCCGGCATTCCCACACCTGGAACTGACCTGGGCAGCATGGCGTGAACCATCCCAGCAGCCAGTTCTAAAGATCCAAGATCGCTTTAACCAACGTCTATCAAACTGCAGGCGCGATGTCACCCATCGCCGGGAACAGTAAAGCTGGCACAATGAGATGTGGAGGTCAAGAAATCCCGAGAATGTCCAACGAGATGAGTTTTCAAGGTAGGACTGTGCGAGCCACTCTCTCAAAACTTTGCGAGTTCCCAAACTAGCTTCGAGTCTCAAAAGAGGCAAAACAACAATCGCTACTAGGAGCAGGGATGCTACTAGGGGCTCCTGGCCTTACTACTAGGAACAAGAAGCTACTAGGGGCTCCTGGCATCGCTACTAGGAGCAACCTCGTCTTTCAGTGTGAACTTTGAGCCCCGCACGGATCAGGCCTCGCTTGAAGACACCGGCGGCAACTCCGATTCCTGGCAAACAGGCCCAGGAAGTCGATTCCGGTCGATTCCGATCGAAACGAAGTGGTGTATTCAGCGTCCCGACATCCCTTTCTGGAGACACGAATTGGGATCCAAACATCCAGACACGACTTGAGGACGCAGTTCGGAGGCAAAATGGTGCTCTCCTGTTGAGTGGCTCTTTCGAACGGCTAGAGTTCTTCAGTTTGGCAGGGATTGCTGCGTCCCACAAAGTGGGAAGTTGCCCCCCGTGCAAGAATCACCGCTCACTTGAGAAGAATGTGTGTACATCCTTGAAGAATGTTGCATCAAGTCATTCAGAAACGAAGGCTCAATCACACTTTGCATAGGATGAGTGGAGCGCGGTAAATCAGTAGAGACTGAATGTCAGGATGAGATGAAATAGGCCTCCTTGCAGCCCCATCCCTGTGTAGTTCTGACATGGTGAACGAAGAAGAATCATGGGCTCCAAAAGAAGATGATCCTTCTATTGAAAGAGGTTTCTCCTTTCATCCAAAATACATATGATCTGCCCCTCAGTCTTCTAAACCCGAAAGCTTCTGACATTGGAATGTGGACAGTCATATCATGTCATATCTGCTCCAGCCAACCATAGCTTCCCAAAAGATCCAGCAAGTCCCGCCCCCCCCTGGAGTGCTCACCAGGCCTTGCAAAGACAAGGTCTCCACAGCTGGGGCAGATCCAGTCCCCTGACATCATCGCCTCCAAACTTCGTTCGATCCAAAACGAGTTGGAACCGACCAAGGTGGGCAAAACACCGCACCGACCAAGGTGTCTTGCGGCCAAACCACCGCCCACCGCAGAAAAACCACGACGAGAAGCACAGAGCGACGAAAAGCCCCAGTTTTCCAACTCAGCTCTCTCCAGTCACAAAGCGGCCGGCTCTCACCTGGCCGAGCCAAAGCGATGCAGCGTCCCGATGCTCGAGTTTGGGCTTGCAGGGAACGGTCCCTACATGGAGAGCTAAAGGAGCACACGAGTTTGCACAGCACCCACGCATTTTGTCTTGCCATATCCGGTCGTTTCCATGGGATTCCATGGGATGAAAATTGTGTGAAAATCTGCAGGTGAAGCCTGTCATGTCTTCTTGATCACCGCGAGAATGGCTTCGGAGGGCACGTTCACCTTTCCAATGGCCTGCATCTTTTTCTTGCCCGCTGCTTGCTTTGCAAGGAGCTTCTTCTTACGGGTAATATCACCACCATAGCACTTGGCCAAAACATCTTTCCGCACTGCCTTAATGAGTTTGGATGAGATGATGTGTGTACCAATACGCGCTTGGATGATGACTTTGATCTGCTGTGAAGGAATCTCATTCTGCAAAATGCCGGTAATCTTCTTGGCAAATTGCAAGGCCCTCGAGCGATGAACGATCTGTGCTAAAGGGTTGGCGGTGGTTTGGTTGATGTCTACCTCCAGCTTTACCAAATCGTTACTTCGGTAGTCCAGGATGCGATAGTCCATGGATGCATAACCACGAGAACGGCTTTTCAGCTCAGCAAAGAAGTCGCGGATGATCTCAGCCATCGGAACCTCATACTCCAGCAGTGCACGTCCCTGAGTCAAAAAAATTCGTGGTCCTGTAGACGCCTAGCAGCACTGGCATTTCAGGGCACAACAGTTTGATACTTCTCGAATCTTCTCGAATGCTTTGAGGAGAAAAAACACCAAAGAAAACCGAGTGAACCTTTTGACCCGCCACCTCTACGCTGGGTCGCCAGCTCCATACAGGGGCCCATGTGTTCTTCTGGCACAATCATCTCCAGCAAGCAATAGGGTTCCCGAATTTCCGCGACCTTGTGGGGAGGAGGAAGCATGTTGGCAAATTGAATGGTGGTCTCTGTGCCGTCACTCATCTGAACCTGGTACTCCACCGAAGGAGCAGTGACCACCACATCCAAATCGTACTCTCTCTCCAAACGGTCTTTGATCACCTCCATGTGCAAAACTCCTAAGAATCCACAGCGAAAGCCGAGCCCCAGAGCGACGGAGTTTTCCGGCTCGTAAAAGAGGGCAGCATCATTCAAGGAAAGCCGCTCGAAGGCTGTCTTCATGTTCTCGAAGTCTCCCGACCTGGGATTCCGAGAAAAAGCGCTCTTAGGTTGGAGGCCATCGCTAGTAGGTTGGAGGCCATCGCTCTTAGGTTGGAGGCCAGTAGGTTGGAGGCCATCGCTAGTTAGGTTGGAGGCCGTCGCTAGAGGTTGGAGGCCAT